CCCTTCCTTCTTTCTTTTCTTTTCTTTTCTCTCTCTCTTTCTCTTTCCCCTTCTCTCTCTCTCCCTCCCTCCCATGCCCTCTCCTTTGCAGGGGAGGGCTTACCAACCCCCATCCCCCTGGATCCGCCACTGAAAATTCGTGGGCATGTCGTGATTGACAAACTTGAATCGTTTTGACCCAAACCTGTTCACATGACTTCACATATAACTTATTTTTTGTTCATCACCAGGTCTTTTCAAATCACTTGTTCTCAAGTCATTTTCTCACGCCACTTGGCAATACCTGAAAGTCTATGTGTTATTGTTCCGGCCGTATGCGGCTTCGATTAAAATAAAGTGAAACAAGGTGGAATGCTATTCACTAAGTACAAAACAAAATAGAAATTGATATGAAGTTGTGTTTGAGGTATTATTCTTCAATAACAAACATCCGTGATTAATACAATTGGTAGAATACAAGCTTCTCAGTTTGAACATTCCGATACACACGTGTGTCACGTTAGGCGCGCGTGTATTCAGCTTAATGTGGCGTGCTTAATAGTTCAATATTTTCTACACCTGTTTTGCGCCACCGAAAGCATAAGAATTCCCTACATATTTCACATGGGAATGGTATGTAAACTCTTGACTCAACTATATATCATAATTATTCATGTTTTCCTCCTTGCTTTTCATTATTAGTATTGTATTAATAACTTTAAAACTGTACAGATACTTCTGTGTTACTGTACAGATACCCTGTATAATTAGGGCCTCAGGCCCTACTTAACCGATACTACGGTACTGTTTAATATAACCGTACTGTACCGATATTCTGTATAGGCCTACTTTACCCATATTTACCCGTACCGATACTACTTTATAATATTGTACCGATAATACTGTATACTAATGTACAAATACTACAGTGCAATACTGTATCCATACTACAGTATAATACTGTACCGATACTATACTGTATAATACTGTACTGATACTATACTCTATAATACTGTACCGATACTACTTTATAATATTGTACCGATAATACTGTATACTAATGTACAAATACTACAATATAATACTGTACCGATACTACAGTATAATACTGTACCGATACTATACTGTATAATACTGTACTGATACTATACTCTATAATACTGTACCGATACTACTTTATAATATTGTACCGACAATACTGTATACTAATGTACAAATACTACAGTATAATACTGTACCGATTCTATACTGTATAATACTGTACCCCAGATATTATACTGTACCGATAATACTGTATAATAATGTACAAATACTACAGTATAATACTGTACCGATACTACTGTATAATACTGTACCGATAATACTGTATACTATTGTACAAATACTGCAGTATAATACTGTACCGATACTACTGTATAATACTGTACTGATACTATACTGTATAATACTGTACCGACACTACTTTATAATATTGTACCGATAATACTGTATACTAATGTACAAATACTACAGTATAATACTGTACCGAGACTACAGTATAATACTGTACCGATACTATACTGTATAATACTGTACTGATACTATACTGTATAATACTGTACCGATACTACTTTATAATATTGTACCGATAATACTGTATACTAATGTACAAATAATACAGTATAATACTGTACCGATACTACAGTATAATACTGTACCGATGCTATACTGTATAATAATGTAAAGACAACAGTACTGTATACAGTAATACTGTACCGACTGTTCTGTACTACTGTTGTAAAATACTGTACCCTAATTCTGTATATTATATCAAATGTATAAACATATCTTGTGAAATATTCCTTAATCTTTGAAGGTTTCATCACATTCTAAGTAGAGAACGAATAAGCTCATTTTACATCGCATTTAATATAATTTTGTCTTATTTATGTTATTGATAATGAATTGATTACTATTAATTAGGCCAGTATTGGAAACATTACCGTAATTTTGTTCTAAAGGCTACAGTACGATGCCTGCTACGTTACGGTGAGTCAGAAGAGCTGTTTCGTGTGAATCATAATAGGAATGAGGTTGTTTGTTTATAATTTTCTGAGGCAAGTGTCTCGCTATAAAAATCAATGCTACTTTATCCTCGGATTCATTAGTTGAAGTTCTTCGTTCATATTCACATCAGACTTTCAGTAATATATTGGCCAATTGTTTGTACAGTGTGATCGCAGTGACCTCTTGCTGACCTTGATTTATGTCACGTTCCTTCAATTCAGATTATGCAGTCTATCGATCTTTCAACATTTTTCAATACAATTAAATCAGCCTTATTGATCAGTATTTATTATACCTATCTACTATATATACATACATACACCTGTCTCTTATACACATCTTAAGTGAAAACTGGAGGAAGGAAATATTAAACAAGAATGTAAAATTGAATCTATGGACACGCACAAGAAGAATTTAAAAAAAATCTATACAGAAATTTCCATAGATAGAGATCAATCACATTGAGTCCACACGACGTACACTGACTTCACGTGCTGTGTCTCATTACCCCCAATGTGGGCCTACTGTTACCTCAGGTACTTTGGTTACCTCTGTCACGTAAAGACAGTATATATATATATATATATATATATAGGCCCAACAACAACCGTCTTGCGGTAATTCTTTTTGGAAATATAAAACTTGTAAACAGTAAGGCCAGACTTTTTATACGTTGTTTCGCGAATTGATTTTTTTAAGATCGTCAGTAGAGGGCGGAAAAAATTAAACTAAAATTTTGTTTTCTTATTCAGCAAATGGTTTTGTCAAAAACATCCATGGCCGGAGAGAAAATACAAATTAAATGTTATTGTTGAATGTAAACAGTGTAGTAATGGAATGGTTAAATGCTTTAAGTTTGTGTAATTAGGAAGATTGACTTTTTAAAACTTTTTGACACTTTGTACAGCTGTAGTGACAGGTCTCTCTCTGTAGTAGCTGTGCGGGAGTCCATCGACTGTTGCAGGAAAGAGACGTGTCATCTAGAGACTGATGTTGTTTTTGTCATAGAGAAAATAGAACCATTTTTCTTATGTTTTAGTTTTTGTTGATATGATTATCTTGTTGTTTTTGATGTCTTTCTTTTTGATTGTAATTTTTATTTTTTTTCTTGATGTTAGGATGCAACACCCTTGTGGTTGTGCGCCACTGATTCAAAAGTGCATATCTAAATAAATAATTATTATTATACATAGGCCTATCTTCTTTTGGAGATTTCAAAGCAGCGGCGGGTGTAATTAAAATGAAATTTTATTTTTATTTCGGAAATCATCATATTGGCGGGCAGTAGATTCGCTAAACAAGGTACAAGAAAGTCTCGTTTAAAGAATTTTATTTATTTCTTGTTTAACGTGAGATAACAACTCAGTTGAAACCAACTGTTATCCTTATGCTCAGAAGAGGTCAATATGATACGCATTCTTCTCAAGCATCTTAACGACAAGATAGGACCTCCGAAGAGAGATACATTTTCATATAAGAATTTTTCCAGGTAAAGTGACAAATTAAAACCGTCTTGTAGTAATGTTTTGTGAATATATTTACTGTACATGCGGGGTTGTTTCTCTATATAAAATTAGTCATTATCATTAATAATTTAAAATTTAGACTGTTCATTAATAATTTAACATTCAGACTGTTCATTTGTAATAAGTTACGCACAATACCTGAAAAAAAAAAACGTGTCGTTATCGGTATCTAAAAATATTATATGCTTATTATTATTATTATTATTATTATTATTATTATTATTATTATTATTATTATTATTATTATTATTATTATTATTATTATTATTATTATTATTATTATTGGAGTTGAATAGTTTGGTGGTTAACATGCTTGCCTTCCAATCCCAGGGTCCTGGGTTCAATTCCTAGAGTTGCAGGACTTTTTCTCACGATAAAAAAAAACTTCACTCACTAAACCTCATAATCATATTGAGATACATTACCGTAGTTTGTGTAAAGCATCGTGTGTGTATGTTTGTCTTGTGTAATGGATTGTCACCTACAAGTAGGACAGTGATATTCGCTACTGACAATCCTTGGCGCATGTACTGTGCTCATAAATAAATAATAATAGGGGCCTAAATAATTAATAAAAGATGTTTACTTTTACTTTTTACCACATAAACCACTCTTCGTCTTTCAACATAACGCATTCAACTACCCTGTGTCATTCTTCTCTGCTCGGGGTCGGGTATATGCCAGTTTTACAGGGGGTCTCAATTGGAACTAACATTCATTAGATCTTCATTAATCCAAGTATTTTCTGTCTGTACTACAAAATGATGTAGGCCTACATGTATAATCTACCCATCGTATTTGCTCATATTATTATAGCAAATTTGCGAAAGCTTTAGGGAAAAAATTAATTACACGTGTCAATTTGAAAGAATTTGCTCATCTTTAGCATAGATCGTTGAATTAGTTTACCCTAATCAATTAATAAGTTTTAGTAATAAACCGTCTGTACTACAATGGGAATTGATTTTTTTTAATGCCTTGTCTTTGGAAGTTAAATGTGTCATTGGAAATTGAATAACTTTTTGATTCTTTTTTTTTTTTTTAAAGAGATATAAATATTCATGTGCTTGCGGTATACATAAACTGTTCACCGCCTTTTTGTATTTCTGAATGCACCAAATAGGGCCTATATATTTTGATTATGGATCATCCACTCTTAGGTTCTGTGAAATGGTGAATGCCTAATAAAATTAAATATGAGAATGATATATTGATTTTAAGCTTGATGAACAGGAAGGACATCGCCACATCGCCATTGCTAAGCAACTTATTTTAGGAATCTTTTAGGTTCACCGCGATGTTTACTCGGAGCCTAACCAGGGGACCTGGTGGGCGTGGTTTTCCCACGTTCCCTCTGTTTTGGCTCGCTCATTGGAGTGAGCCGTTGAACAGGCACGTGTACGCCTAAAATACAGGTAAGACGAGATCAAAGGTAGGTCAACTGTCAGGCATAATTACCTTCGCTTGATTGGCAGAAGAGAATCTTGCAGCCAATCAGACACAAGGATTGGGTCTATTCTTTTGTTAAGCTGGGTTTCGGCAGGGCGGCGGAACTTGTACAACAATGGTGTGGTTTGTGCATTGTTGTAGCGATAATGTTATCTAGACCAAAAGTGTAGAGGAATGCGTTGGGAAAACCCTGAGCCCATCTTTCTCACAGGTCGCACTTAATAAAGAGATTAACGCTTTGGTTTTCTTGCGCTAAAAAAAAATCGCTAAACCCTTGCACGCTTTGTGTTTCAAATGCGCATGCGCATTGAAGTTCGTGTCGTAATCGAGATAATTTAGTTTGTTTACAAATAATAACAGACAAGAAATCATTTCGACGCAAATTAGAGAGTAATATGACAAGTGTTCTATAGCGAAAAAAATAGAGATACGGTAAGATGCCACCTGAGAGAGAACGATACGCGATAGGAAGGAAGGTAATTGTTACATCACCTTATGCAATCCTTGTTTTTTTTTTGTTTTTTTTTGTAAATAAAACAATTAAATAGAACTACGGTTTACATGCATTTTCTAATAGTTCGCACAACCTCTACCGAATGCGCATATCTTCTCTCTCGAAATAGCTTACTGTATTTGGTTGTCAATATTTATACGTGACAAGAACTTGATTCTTTAATAAGCAATAACTGTATGAATGTAATACTTGTTAAATTAAAGATATTTTCAAGCAATGAAGAAATTTCTTTCGAAAGTTCACGGTAAAATCTCCAAGAATTGTTTCATATAGGCCTATTTCTCTTTCAGTGGCGATTGCTTATAAAATATCGATAATTTATATAACGCCTATTTTTTTTATTTGATTCTAACGAAATGAACAATATCTTAGGAATTATAGCGATTAGGCTTAATCTAATTACAAACCTGTGGATTTAATAATACCATTTGTCATGGAAACCACGTCACGCGCACAAGGAGATCAAGTTCGGTTCTAGTAACTAGGCCCTGTGGAATGTATCGATCAGACCTTGAAATTAGCCCCGCTGCAAGGCTGTAAATATTTTTTTTCTGTATTTTATCATTCTATTATTAGCAACAATTTATTCAGAAGGGGAATATAATTTCAATAAATAGACCTATTGCCTGTTTTTTACAGTAGTTTTAAAAATCAATAATCCGTTATTTAATAAAAAGAGATTTCTGGCATTATTATGGTGAACCTTATAATATAAATAAAAATAAAAACAAAACGTTAACTATCAAACGAAAAGTAAGCTTAATTCTTCAGCATATAGGCCTACGGTTACATTTGTTTAATTAGGCCTATAATTATTATTAGCTGTTGAGATTTGCATTTATATAGGACAATGTTCTTGAATGCAGTGTTATATTTTATTTAACAAAATAACTGTAGGTCTATCCAAAATTGTCTGTACCGTAAATGAATATGATTTAAAAATATAAGCCTATTCCTGTTTAATATAATGGAATGATAAAGTGTAGATTCCGTTTATTTCTGCGACACAATACTGTACCGGTGAAACCAGTTATAATTAAAATTAATTTACCTTCTCTATTCAATACTTTATATAGTCAGTTTCCAAAGGAACTAAACTAAACAATACCTAATAGGCCTATCAAAAAACAAAGACACTTTCAACAATTGAAGAGTAAAATATCTCAAAAACAAATTTAAAACAAAACATAGCAACAGAGTAAACAAATCGACTACACTTTTTTTTTTAAAGAACCAGTAAAATTTTGCCTAGGCTCAAGTGATCTAATTGTTTAATAATTTCAGGCTCAAAATTTTCTTATATTGTTCTTATTTTAAACACTTTTCGAACATAAAACATTATTACCTCACTATACTGTATTATACCTATAGAGTATAGTCACATTTTTTGGTTTTTCGATTTTTTAAAAATAAAAAATTTGGCATTTTACCTCTGAGTCTCAATTTGTTCTTAATTTGTAAGCAATTTCAGCCTTAGTGTTCCTATAAAGTGTGTTCTTATTTAAAAAAAGAAAGTGTTGGTTTATTAATATACCGATACTGTACATTGGAATTAAGTCTAGGCCTATTACGGTACATCGTTGTATCTAACTACGCACATTTTTCTGAATATTTTTTTTTACACCACTAGCTTAGGAAAGGCATACCTTACGGTAATTGATAATGTGCATGATTTAAAATGTTAGTTATTATTTTCAAAACAATATGAAATAAATTGAATGAATACGGTCATTAGCTACCAATGTTATGCGTGCAACAAAACATACAAAGTAGGCTAACACACGATACAAGTTTCTTCAACGTTTTTATGGTAAACAAGTTATTCTGAATTTCAGTCATCAAAACCGCTGATGGAAAAACGACGTCGAGCCAGAATTAACGATAGTCTTACGCAATTAAAGTCTTTGATACTGGATGCTAATAATAAAAATGTAAGTGACAAATCAACATTGCTACAATCTTATCAAAATATGTACCGGTAAGTATGCTTGTCATCATGTACTTAGGCCTATAGGCATGGGAAGGCCAAATAACGATCTCTACGCCTATGGAAGCATTGGAAAATAAGTCATTTGATAACCCCTAATTTTCGTAAAGAACAAATACAGTTATTTTGTTAATGTTGATCTTGTATGTGAATTTGCAGACATCACGGCATTCGAAGATGGAGAAAGCTGACATACTGGAGATGACAGTAAAACATTTAAAAGAAGTGTACCGTTCTCAAGCTCAAGGTACGTCTTTCTTTATTGATATTTAAACAGGAAGTCCCACTCAGCATGACAGATTTTCAGGGGAGTCCTCTCCTCAACAGTCTCCATGATATTTTCTTCCTTTTTATCTTCATTCTAGTACAGATGAGGTTGAGATCCATCCATTGGCAACTTTTAAAGATATGCTCAACTATATTAATATACATACATAGGCCTATTTTAAATAGATAATAAGGGGTTTTTGGGGCCGTCGGGGAGGGCTCCCCCCCCCCCGGGAGAAAAAGCACAATTCGTCGGGGAGAAAAAACATATATGTATTTTCTACATATTAGTAGACTCTAAAATCGATTAAGTAAGCCTTTGAAACCCCTAAATTGTCAAAATTTTCGGGGCTTCTCCCTCAGGACCACCCAGAACCACACAGGACCACTTTTGAAACCTTTTCATCGAAGCTCAACCACGCCCATTTTGCTTTCGTCTTGGAAATCGGACCCCTCGTCGGTGCATCAGAAACCCCCCCCCTCCCCGCCCTCCCCTAGATACACACTGCTACTACTAGACCTACGACTACTACTACTACTACTACTACTACTACTACTACTACTACTACTACTACTACTACTAATAATAATAATAATAATAATAATAATAACAATAATAAGAATAATAGACGACTTCGCATCGCATTCGCGCATAATGCTATGGCCTCTTTGCAGGGCTGTAGACCGATACTGTTGGTCAGTGCTTAGCCTGAACACTTTAAAAAAGGTTAAATTTCCACATGTAGGCCTATGTTCAGAATTTTATGCTCCTCCCTTTTGACATCACTCAGGAACCTGGGGTGAACGGTTAATGATAGTTCACGTAATTTTCTTCTCTTTAATAGTAGTATAAAATTTTTAATGATTGATTAAGAAACTAGGATGCATTTTTTCTTCAGTTGAATTTCAGTGCCATGGCTTTGCTTTTATCAGTTCAAATCATTTAGGTCAAACTATACCCACAGTGAACTTTTGCAGAAAATCAGGCTAAAGGTTTCCTTATTGCTTAGGACTTATTCATGATTTATTCACTAAATTGCGTAGACAACTAACAAGAAAAAACTATATGCCTTTATCTGTATATTTGTTCCTGATAGAAAGTACCGTAATGTATACTAGAACAAATATGTGTATTACCAGCCCTGATTGTAGTTTAAAATATATTTTATAAAACATTTTTAAACTATTGTATTACATTACTACTACAGAACATCATTAAAATTTGTCTTGTACAATGTAAAATAGCAAATTAATACTACAGTGTACATATACGATTAATTTATGTAATAAATATTGTGAAAAGGACGAAATTATGTTTTATAAAATATAACTTGTAATTTTTGTACAAATATCGATATTGTATTTGACTCTTTGTATTTGTGCAGTTACTTACACTTTTTGCAAGGTCACAGTGACAGGGAGATTACATCAACGTACTTAATTACTTCATCCATAGTGGTATTATAGATCTTCATGCCTCAATTCATACATTTTGTACGTAAATGTGTAACTATTTCAAGGTATCAATGAGTGTTTACCGAAATGTCTACTTTCCTATAGTAGCTACCTATTATAGTATCTGTGGTTTAACAAATGAGACATAATATCAATAATGAAGGAAATCCCAGTCGGTTATATTATTAATAAACTATCCGTATAAGTCCGACATAAGTTACGGTTAGTGCGTCTTTTGTCATAAAAAGACTGTAGGCTCTACCGGTATATCTTATTGGGTTATTCGAATATAAATACCGATGACAAATTTCTAGGGTGTAATTATGGATTAACTGAATACTACCGGTATTGAATACGTGCCGTCATCATACTGCGTTTTAGTCCTAAAATTCAACATTATCGTTTTTGATGAGCAAAAAATTTGAGTTATTCAACTTTTTATTAATTAATTAATTCATTCATTCATTCATTATACTTCGATATAATATCCATACAAAAAATTATTATCGGAACTGTGGGCACGGAAGCCCTCAAGATAACTCATCATTTTATCATCACTGTAGTAACCCTTTAGTTACAAGAAAGATTCTCGGACACAAGTATACGTACGTGAATTCTCATGTTACAGACGTCATTGTCGTTCAATGGAAGACTGGACATTATGAGTAAGTTTTTCGCTTACAATGGCAAGGTTATGGCAATAATTAAAGTAATACTAACGAATAATGCTAAATAATTATAAAGAATAATATTTATAACGATTTTTTATTTATTTACCGACATGTATTTTTTACCGACAAGATAACTCATCATTCTATCACTGTGTAACCCTTTAGTTGCAAGAAAGATTCTTCCCATGCTACAGACATATGATCAAGTTTTTCGTTTACAATATTAATATTTAATAATAAATAATAACAATGATAATAATAATGATGATAATGATAACAATAATCTAATAATAATAACAACAAATAAGTAAAAAATAACGAATAATTTAATGATAACGAACTTTTACGGTAAGAAATAACTTCGAGCGTTTGGTATTTTCCTCAAACCCGGTTTACGTCTCAAATAAGTGCTGTACTGTTGCTACCACGAACACCCAGCGATCAGCCAACAATTTTAAATTTCAATTTTAAATGAGACAAATACGGAAAAAATACTCTATTATAATCCTAAATAAATATAGGCCTACTAACAAGTTAAATTTTTCTTCTGTAAGAAGTACAGTAGGCCTATACGTCATCATGTTCGTTGCCAGTCACTCAACATTAGCACCGGGTGGTAATTTGTGTACTGTAGTTTAAATGTCGACATTGGCGATTCAGAAGTGCATGTCCAAATAAATTAGTATTATTATTTAGGCTTGAGAAAACTATACGTGTCGCTAGACAACAATAGCTAAGCCCCATTGTATACTGAACATGTCACCGGACAAAATCATCTATACGTGTCACTAGACAGCATCCAGTTATTGAGAGATAGCTTCATGATCTAATCTTACTGCATACCGAAATTACCAAAGGTGTCGATTGAGTATTTACTTAATGAATGCGCGGACTCGTTTATCTTGTACTCCATGAATAGAGGCTTGATTTCTAGTGGTTTATTTACGCCTGTCATCAGACTTACTTCAGGTCGTGGGAAATGCACACAAGTCGAGGACAAGCCTAACTTTTGTAGGGTCGTTTAGAAGATAAGAGGGTGTAAATGCACGTGTAAGAGTGTGGCATCAATCGCTGGCCCGTCTCCCACAATGCATTTCTGCACACCTGTTTTCATCCTGTCAACTTGATAGTTTGTATTTAACAGTTTATATAGATGCATGTGATAACATCAGTGGTGGATATATAATTGGAAATTGAGAGGGGCCAGGGAGGGACTTTGACAGATCGAAGATCTCAGCCCAACCATGGTTTGGGCTGAGGTAAGACAATTTATGACTGTGGCAGATGGCCGGAAATGGTACTCAGACTTACAATTTGATATTAATTTAATTTTTTTTTAGTTAGAGGGGTGGGGGGGGGAGGTGGCTGGGCCCATTGAATCTGCCACTGGACATAACATTTCCAGCCTTTTACATGCGCATGCTAGCAATGGCCTATAGTATAGGCCTAGGCCTGTTGCGCACACCACATGTCACAACGTCAGGTGCAACGCGAACGCAGTTTTTTTTGGCCACAGATCCTACAGCCGATGATACTATAATAGTTAATATTAAGAGGCTTTGTTGGATCATAATCTACAGCATCATTATTGGCTCAGTTTAACTCAAATACAATGGGTGTTACTGGTTTTGTATTGTAGTCCCTTTCAATACAAAATTACTTTTTTAAGAAAGCCGAACGAATATATCGCATTACGTAAACATTCACATTGGAAATCAGGTACAGTAGCTATCACAGTTATCAATATTTGTGAATTTAACGATCATGTGATCGACTCTATTAATAGTGGTATGGTTAAAATTACAGGGACTCTTTTACGTAGGTGGCAAGTTGTTTGATTCATTGCAAACGCACAATACTGTACTAGGTTTTGGTCGCATTTACTTTGATAGTTAGGCACCTATCGCTTAATACAATGCCATTAAAAATTCCAGACTTAAGACAACCCTTTTATTATATATATAACGCTAAAACGCATGAAGCGAAAATGTATGTTGCCTTAAGTTTGAATGGTAAAAACACCAACGTTGTATAAATAAATTCAATGCAAACGAATGCATAAAATAGTGAAGACAGATTGGGAAAAAGAAGAGGAAGCAGAAAAGAAGAGTCGGTGACCTAAGTAAGATTTAAAAGGTTTCAAATCCTAGCCTAATATTAGGCATAGGGCCTATATATTTTTGGTTTTTGATGAGGAGCGACCAATAAAATAATGAATTTTACAAGAACAACACTAAACAAACAATCGCCTCGTCACCTTAACTTATACAGTATCTAAAATAAACCAAAGGGCTTTTGGTTGCCGGCAATCTATTTCAACCCCATTTCTCAATCAGAACAACAGGAATAAAAATGTGTGAAATTCTCAAAAGTTGTTAATCATTTAGCTTGGGGCCAAGCGGCTTACCGGTATCTGTTGAATGATGATGAAAATAATGATAAAATCTTCTACCACCACAAGGAATAAATAACACTTAAAAAGCGGTACAAAATTAATTTACGCACAAGAGAGCAACACTCAGTGAGATTAAGTTACTATCTCAACACTGAACAGAAAGGAAAAAAATAGAGAATTGCGAGATAACCGAATTGAAAAAATACCCTATGGATGGAAACATCTAGAAAAAAATACGGAGAAACGCCGCTAAATATAATGTACCGGTACCTGCACCAACGACCTTTGAAAATCTAGTGCGTTTGAGATTCATTTTCGAAGATTTGATCGTTGACTGCACCGCCTCATTATAATCGCCGCATATTCACCCAATACTGTACATCAACCGCAAACACTACAATGTTATACCGTACTATATTAATTTATTTATTGTATGACTAAGATAATGATATGTCTATCT